AAATTTGCATGATCTATGTTCTGGATGGTGGAAATCATGAATTATTAACATTGTAATACAAAATTTGCGGTAAAGCGACAACGAAGCGATACTACAAATGTACTTTTTGCTTCCTCACAAATAAAAAATGGATCGGTATGTTAGTCTGATGTTCACATTGGCTTATGAGTGAAAACAGAACCAGCACTACTGCTGAAGCAGCATAATCGTACAATTGGATGTCGGAAGTTCTTTTTGGAATGTTACCAACGCTCTCTTTCAAAAGATGTCCACATCTGATCTAGATAAAAATCTCTGAAAGAAATCAAAAGAGTGAAGATGCTGGTTTTGTGGGAGTTTTGCTAGTAGCTAGTAATAGAGAACTCAGCGAACACGACTCCTCAGTTCCCTTAAGTGCAAATATGATCATTACCTTAGCAAAGAAGAGTCTTAGTAACGCACATCCCATCCTCTTTTGAGCTTATGCAAAATCCCGACAAAAAGATTTTTCCTCTTATTTAGTGAAGCGCATATGAACACAAAGTTCTTTTTGTGATAGAGTTATTATCTGATGGCAACAACTGGAAGTCTGACTTCCAAGCAAACGCTAGAGAAGCGTTTTCTCAAACCCATCCACACGTCGGCGTCCAAACTGTGACGAAGTATTGTCTTCCACGGTTAACGTCGGGCAGTCCGAGTCAATTGCATTATTATCTGGAGCAATGAGAGCATTCGATGGCCCCCTGTTGACAACTCCTTCCAAAAGTCCATTTTGTGTAAGTCTACAACGGTTTCGCCTATGAAATGAAAAAAAAGCCAAAAAATACTATAAACATACGATATATCCTCATCTTCATCAACGTCCTGACTGAGTTTGAGGTAAGGGTTCGCTGGCTGTGGTCGAAATAGGATTCCAACAAGGATGAAAAATACGAGCGTTGAACACTCAACAATTGCATCGGTTATCCATTCTTGATCAAAAGGAAGGGCATACTAGAACAAAGCATTTCCGAATTCGGCAACGACTATAAAAGTTTTTTTACCTGTAATAATAATTTGATGACTCTCGTCAGATACACGTAGGAGATTACTATCATATAAAAATGACGAAAGAGTCGGAGTTTCTCGAGATTGAAGGCAGCTTTTCCATCACTTCGCGCACCCTCAGACAAATGGTGCATAGACCTAAAAAAAAACATCACAGAGTGAT